CTATAACAACCGATTTTGCAGGACAAAGTGCTGGGACTAAGGGTATATGAGTGGGTCTACATAAGCTACTTTTGCCCTGTACTTCTAATATTTTTATGTTGGTACTCACCGACTACAGGACGTACACGTCCCATTTTTCCTTTGGATTCATCCCCGAGGCCTGCTAGCAGCCCCACACCGACTAGAAGGCTGGACAAAATGAGCTTACCGGCAAGGAGAAGTGAGGCTAATAGCCGGCAGCAACCAGCGATACACAATTTCAAATTTGAGGACACCTAGGGGTTCAATCCACGCTCTTTTGGCTATTTTCCCAACGCTTCTAGCCACTGAGCCATGAGCTCATTTTCTCCTCAGTTGCGATTGGGAATACCAGCGATGGCAGATAGGCTTTCGTCGATCGGTTATGGGGCCTGCTCGATCGCAACCAACAGGAAGACGAAACCGTGGTGTATTATAGTGGTGACCACTACGCAGGATCTAGTTCTAGTGGAGCGTATTTTCATTTTGATTACTGAACATTACTCATTATACTAGATCCCTCAATTAAATGATTAAAACTCTACTGAAAACATAAAAGTGTCAGCAAGCAGTAGGTCTGATACGCTTTAAAGGCTAGTATCTGCAATGTATTTTTCAGGTAATAGACTATTTTTAACAAGTGGACAAACGTGTAGTCCTGCCTTGCCTGTTAGACAGTAACTAAAACGGACAAAAGTTCTATATCATTAGACTTTCTAGTTACTGTCACTGAACTTGCCTATATTTTCCTAATTTTATGGTTTTTTTCAGTCATATTATGGCCTATTTATGTGTATCACACAGGTATTGATCATAAGATGAATTTTGGCCAGTGGAATAACTTACTCAGAAGCGATAACTCCTTAGTCATTGTCAGTTTTGGGCAATATTGCGGTGAGAGCCCTTGTAGGTCATGCATAGACTTTCCGGGCCAGAGCAAACAGTCATTCGAAACTCTGGAAAAAATGCATTTCTGTAGATAGATTTCCTGCTTTCAGACGAAGACTACTAAGGAAGGTACAACGTGACGCCTTCATTTGCATAATTCATTTGACCCAGTTGTGAAAAACTCGGCGGACCCTGTGAGATTCGAACCCACGACGGCAAGATGAAGGCTTACTGTATCAGAGTTTTTGGATTCTATAAATTGCAGCAGGCTGGGCGGGCAACTTGACCCAGGCGTGATCAAATTCACCGTTCTCAGTGGGGCTCTTTTAGCTCAGGTGTTTAGATCGTTGGCTGGACAAATTCTTCGCCTTGCTGTCGTGGGTTCGAAACCTACCAATGCAGCTATGTTGTTTACGACTGAATCAGACGAATAGTTCAAACCTGCCTAAAGCCCCTATTTCCTAATCGGGTATGGTTCTTAATTAGCCAGGACTGAATTTTAAAATGTAAACTAAGTCGATGTTTTTATTACTGATAACTATTTTAGCAACTTCCTTTGAAAGCCTTCATATTTTCCATTGAAAAACGCAA